GTTGCACTTCCAGCCCAAAGGCAGGCAGTTCAAATCCACCAGTTGCTCCTTAGAAACTGACTAGATGACCAGATATGAGTCCGTTTCAATTTGATAGCCAATAATTAAGTTGTTTTATACACATACACATTTTTAATCCCTCTTCCTCACTCTTTAAAAAAAACCCACTTTTTTTCTTTCTCTTACTGTTATTGTGTGCCGTCAAGTCAGACCAAGCCAGAGCTTCTCCTGCAGGTTTTCAGAGGAAATCACTCATCTTCCTCCCATGGAGCAGCTGGTGGATTTGAACCATGTACATTGGGAATTGCAGCTCAGCTTCTTACCACTAGGCCACCAGAGCTCCCTTTCCTCCTAGCTTGTTGTAACTGCAATGAAGTCTACAGCTCTTCCTGGACCCTTCGCCATCTTCCTTCCTGTCCTCTACCCCTTTCCATTTTCTTTCTTTCTTTTCTTTAACTCTACTTCTTTTTTTTAAAATTAATTTCAATGACTATTTACAGTGATTTTGGATTTCCTTTCATTCATTGTTGCACTTTTCTCCCTGCCCAACCCCACCCCCAGTTCGCTCTTCTCCTTGAAAAGCAAAAGGAAAAACTCCTTCATTGGTATACAATCCCCCCGCACCCCCACCCCCATCCCGAGTATATTCCACTCTGCAACCCTCATTCCAAACTCTTATAATAATCATAATGCCGTAAAATATATTACTTTTAAACTGTTCTCTCCCTTATCGACTTCAATGCAGTAAACATAATTTATCCAGTTGTTCTCAGTCTTACCCCCACCCTGACGTCAGCCTCATTCTACAACAGTGGCACCATACAGTATTTGTCCTTTTGTGACTGAGATATTTCACTCAGCATAATGTCCTCCAGGGTCACTCATTTTGAATAATATTGCATGAGTTCCTTGTTTTTCAAGGCAGCCTAGTATTCCATTGTGTGAATATAGCAGAGCTTCTCTGTCCATTCGTTTGTTGATGGGCACTTGGGTTGTTTCCAACTCCTTGCTATTGTGAACAAAGCCATGGGTGTGCCTATATCTGCTTGGATGTCAGTTATGGTCTCTTTAGGGTATATTCCCAGTAGTGGAATTGCTGGGTCAATAACTCTACGTCATTTTTTATTGTTACTCGTCTCCATTTCTTCATTTCCCCCCCTTCGTAGCTTATTTGCCCAGTTCTTATTCTGTCTGTTTCGCATTTCATTTTCTCTTTTCATTTCTATTGGCAACCATAACCATCATGCCATATTTAGAGGGTATTTTTTTGGTTTTGTTCAGATTGTTGCTTTTTTTTTTAAGTAATTCTAGGCTGGGATTTCATTTTGCATATTCTCTTTTGTCTCACGAGCATTTGTGTGGAAGAGCACCAGAGTTCTAAAATGAATCCTAATGAAGTAAAATATCAGCATCTTTATTCTGTTTGCTTGGTGGTGGCAAAAGTTATATGTGAATGGCATTAGAAAGCTAGAGTAACTAACATGCCCTTGGTAAGATACTGAAGACTTGCTCCTTCCATGTACATATAGAAGGCATACTTTTCTCTCAGCCAGTTCTGAAACCTTGGAAAACAGCAGGACATCTACATTCTAAGGGAGATGATGTCCTTTTCAGTTCTTGGCCAACACCCTTCAAGAAGAGAGCAATAAGTCAAGGCTGAGCCAGACATCGCCATGGGAACCTTTGTTAAAGGGACTTGTTCCCACCTCTTCTGCCCAGATGCATCCCTCTCCTGCCAGTGTGTCGTCTCAGGGCAGCAGAGGATGACGGGCCTGTGGCTTTGTGACTCCATGTCCTCTTGTCTAACCCCATCGGCTGTTCTAACTGTGCTTTGCTTAGATCTGTGTAGAGTACATACTAACTGCTGCTTCCTGCCTGTTTTCAGAAGACAGCTTGGCCGGCCTGAACACCTGCACCCCGTCAGGCTGCTCAGACTGTCCTCCACTGGCTGTACACAGACTTTGCTGTGTGTGCAGGAGGGAGCCTGTATGGCTGGCCTGCCAGCCAGTCTAGGAGCCCTCGCCATCCCTGCACCCGACTTGGCATGCAGTGGGGCCTGGGGTGGCGGGAGGGGCATCTTGGGCTTCCCTCATGTCTTTGCAGTGTCCACCATGTAAGACTGAGAGGGAGCTGGGTGATGGTGGGTGAGTTTGGCTCTGTTGATTTAAAAGGATAGGAGACATTTCACTCAAAGGATGCCTCCTGCAGGTACTAAATAAGTTATTAAAAGGGCTCTATCTTCTCTTTACTTCTGCTCCTGTAAAATGGAAATGAAGTCACTGGTTGGTGTAGTTAAGTATTTAGCTGCTCAGAGAAAGACCTGGAAATGTGCTTTTTCAAGGTCACTGCCATGAACATCCTCCAGAGAATGGTTCTACTGTGCAATACACATGAGGGGTTACCAGGAGTTGGAATAGTCTTTGTGTAACAGTTTTAAGAAGGAAGCACAGTGTCTCACTTAAGAGAGCCAGTAGAGTACATTGAAAATAAGACTGAATGTGGCTTTGGAAAACCTGGGTTCAAGTTCTAGATAGACCACTCATTGTTTCCAAAAACTTGGACCAGCTACCTCTCCTCTTTGGACATCTGAGTATTTTTCAGCCTTTTTCTTTTTTCCAACATTAGAGGTTGATAAAAGTTATTGATAATGCTCTTTGCACCTCTTTGGAGTTAAATATTAGCCAAATTACATATAAGTATGGGGGGGGAGGGTATTTAACAATAAAGGACCATGAAACTCAAGGACCAGATTATAAAGTTCTCAGCGGTGGATGTTTTGACCCCCAGGAGATATTGGGCAATGTCCCTACAGACATTTTTTATTCTCTCAACTCTAGGAAGGAGGGCTGTTATGGGCACAGAATAGGTAGAGACCTCAAATGCTGCTAAACATTCTACACAGCACAGCACAGACTCTTATCATGAGGCATATATCTTCCCTAAACTTGGAGAAGGACATCATGCTTGGGAGGGTGAAAGGACAGCACAATAACAATGACAACATAGAGCTACATTGGCCCCATGGACAGAAAGTTATGTTACCAAGCCCAAGGTGGGTGATTTTAATCTGCAGCCCTCACGCCTGGTTCAAATTGGGCTTTTTTGGTGAAACATTCTTCTAGGTGGTATAGCACTTGTCTGCATTGCTGTACAGAAGTAACTCATGGTTGTTGTGATGCTGAATACTGTGGCACTGATGTGCCAAATGTGATAATGGTTACCCATGGTGGGCAGTGTTTGGTGGAGTTTCCCAATGAAAATAAGCTTGGAAGCAGGAGTGGCATCCACTTCCGAAATGGCTTGCCTTTGGAAACTATGAACAGTGCTCAGGTCTTCCATTCATAGGGTCACTATGAGTTATCTACGACTCAATGGCACCCAATAACAACAAACTTGGAGAAGGACATCATGCTTGGGAAAGTGAAGGGACAGCACAAGAGAGGAAGACTCTTGAAGAGATGGATTGATTCAGTGACTGGGGTAATGGGGGTAGATGTGTCAGGGACAATAAGGTTGGCACAGGATAGAGCAGAGGTCAGAGCTGGTTCTTTGTACGTAGGGTGGCTATGAGTCACAAGCAACTCAATGGCACATAACAACAACAATGACAAAATGTTAATAATGCTATGAGTTTGTTAAAACAGTATGACTTATAAGATTGTGAATATATTCAAGTGACTAGTTCCATAATTAGTTCATATAGCCCTGTTGTACAAGTTGCCGTACAGCGATAACTTGTGGTTGCTGTGAGGCTGAACACTGTGACACTGATGTGTCAAATGTGTTAATGGTTGGTTACCCAATGCAGACAGAGAGTGGGGTGGAGCTCCCCGAATAAAACAAGCTTGGAAGCAGGAGTGGCATCTACTTCCACAATAGCTTGCCTCTGGAAACCCAATGAACCTGGAGAGAGGATGAAAAAACACCCAAGTGTTGAGGATTCTCCTTCATAGGATTCTCCATAAATAAGTAGGAGAATCCTGTTTTTCTTCTTGAATGTAATTTTTGTCTCTTCAGCCCAGTCTGTTAAATACTTTACCCCTTCTTTTAGCTATTATTTTGATAATATTTATTTCAAGAAATATTTTTCCTTGTCTAATCTGCCCTTTCTCTTATTCCACCTAGTACTTATCTCCCTGATTTCTCCTTCCTTCACTCTTCTCTTTTCACCACCACGCACCAGCAGTCAATCCCTCCGTGGCCCTTTTCTCCTGCCTCTCTGTCCCTTCCTGACTTGGTCCATTTGTTCCCTGTTTCCCAGTGGGAAACTGCAGCAAGGCAAAGAGGAAAACCTAGTGTTGGGACTGGAGTCTTCCTCTCCCTCCCATGATCCCAGGATTGCTCAGTGAAAGATACGCTGGATACCCAGGCCTCCTTCACATTGCTGGTGATGTTTATTAGTGGGAGCGAGTGTATAATCTTCATGGACCTCAAACAGATGGATGTTGCAGAAGAATGAGGGTCTCTCTAGGATAGGATCATAAGCTCAAGACTGGTGAGGAAGGTTGCCAAGGTATAAATAGGCTAGGGGAATACATTTATCCAAAAGGGATTGGAATACCCTCTTATTACAGCAACCATAGAGTACTGATTTGACCCCATTGTTTCCTGCACTCATGTAACTATTTTCTTTGATTTTAAGAGACTCATGTAAAGAAATGTGTAGATCAAACCAAGTCAACAAAATGTTTTTCAGTGGAAGTGGAACTTAGCCTTGTGTTGGGAAATACGGTCTGTGTACCCACTGAAAAATCTTGGAATCTCCACGGAAGAGGTGGCTGGATGAAAAAACTCATGGCTCGAAAAGGTGGAAAGACAAAGAACACTGAAAACAACTTGTTAGAGAACTGCATTGTTGATTACAGGCATGATGCAGAGCCTAAAAGTCAGTTGTGCACAAGACAAGCCTCTGTGTTGATCAGATTCACCGGGGAACCTGGCTGTGGTCATGATGCCGTGCTTCACTGCTTCAGAAACATGTTTCCTTTGCTTCTCCCCAGCAACAGTTGGGCAAGAACCTCAAGTTCGGGCAGCCGCCACCCAATGCCGTTCCCATGAAGAAGGGAGACAGTGGAGAGGCTAGCTTGGAAGACGACCTGTTCCCGACCAGTCCCATGGAGATTGTGACTAAGCAGGACCTCGTCCTCTCAGACACTGAGAACAAAGTAAGTGTCCTCCAGGGAATGACGACTTTCTAATAAACGGGGGAGGGTACTAGACAGGAGACAGGACGTCCAATTCCCCTGGGATCTGCTGGGAGGTGAATAAGGCAGGGAAGGTGTTTCTAATTTCTAATGAGCTCAGAGCTGGAGGACGTGTCTTGTGCTGAGGGCTCTGTGCAGTGATTCATTTGACAGCTTCCCAGCTCTTCAGCTGGATCATCACCGGGATGGGGTGCAGGACAAGAGAAGAGGGGACGTGGCCCTTTGTACACACTCTCGAGTGTCTGCACTTTCCCTCCAGATGCTGATCTCACACCTCAAGGTGCATCGTCTCTGCTGTCCACTTGTAGTATATCCATACTCCATCTATGGCCTTGTCCTTGGAACTGTATTCACTTTCTCTCCAAACTCAGAGCTCCTTGAAGGCAACTTGCATGTAACACATCTATTCCTCCCCATGTCTTAGCCAGGGCCCTACATAATTAAATGCTGAATTGGGCTAATTGAAAGGGAAATTGAAGGAGAGGTAGGGACTTAGTGTGAGATGGAACAGATCAAACAGGCCAGCTTGAAGGCTACTTGGGCAGAAGGTCAGACTACCCTATACTATGTAAAGACCTTTCTACATAGGGCTATGTTTGGGGCAGAAAAATGGTGAGCAAGCAGATAGTTTTGCTCAGCAAAGGAAAATAAAATACTTGTAAAAATTGATAAAAAGGTCTTTTTTACTTAAAGGGTGTTGTTCAGTGCTGTCCTGGAGATTTCAGGCTATGTGACAGCCCACATTAACACGGTAGAACTGCCCCGCAGGGTTTTCATGGCAAGATCGTTACAGAAGCAGGCTGCCAGGTCTTCTTTCCACAGAGTTGCTGCATGAGCTCAAACTCCCAGCCTTTCAATGAGCAGCTCAGAGCGTAACCATTTGTGCCACCAGGCCTCCTTATAGAGGGTGTGTTGATGTTGTTGGTAGGTGCCGTTGAGTACAACTCATTGTGAGATGATGAGCAACAGATCTGAACCTTGTCCTGTCCTGTGCCACCCTCACCACCTCTGACACGCTCAAGCCCATTGCTGTGTCAATCCAGCTGAGCTGGTTGCAGTGGGCATTGGAGGGGTGCAGCTGCAGACTGTAGGTTTTCTGAGGATGGGCCGTGCCAGGGTGACAGTAGTGTGACTCTCCAGCCTTGGGCTTTCTCCTGTCTATGCTTTTGCCTCCATTCTGGTCTTTTATTTTCTCAGCTCAGCCCTTTGAATTAGGTACCAGGAGGACTTTATCTTCTTCTTCTTCGTTATTGTTTCTCAGTGAGGGGTCTGGCAGGTGAAGGGGATGAATGTGGTTAGCATAGCTGAGAGCTCTGAGGTTAGAGCCAGTGTGGACAGGATAACCCTCTGCCCCAGGAAGGAGGCCACTGAGCAGCTCCCCAGACTCTCAGACAATCGTGAAAATACTAAGGACTGAGAAAACAGAATTGCACTTGGGAGAGTGGCTAGTCCACACTCTAGGTCTCAGGTAGGCCTTGTAGACTTTGAGTCTTCACAGAGTGCCCACCATGATTCCTGCTGGCTCTTTGAAGCAGGCTGTGCAGGTGCTGGGGTAGACGTGGGAGGCTTCCCTTGACCAGGCACCCGCCCCCAGGGCATGTGGTTATGTGTTCAGACCTTGCTGTTCTGACGTTTGGCCTGAGTGATCTCTTTCTTTTTCCAGTCCAGTGATACGCCAAGTTCTCTCAGTCCTTTGAATTTACCTGGAGCTGCAAGTGAGATGGAAGAGAAGGTAAAGATGATGTAAACCTATTTATGTAACTTCCTTACCTTAGCTTCTAAACTTTCTTTTTTACTGCCTCATTCTCCATTTATAAGTTACATCCATACATTACTCTAAATTCTTTCAGAATACAACCATAAGACAAAGATGGATTAGAGATGGATCTCCCAGGGAAATTGATGGAGCTAAACTCTGTTTGGAAAAACGGCCATGCTCCAAGCTTGCGTGTGTGGTGTCCTGCTGTTGTTAGGTGCCTTTGAGTCCATCTCGACTCACAGTGGCTCCTTACAGTGCAGAACCTGCCCTGTCCTGAGCCGTCCTCACCATTGTTGCTGTGTCTGAGCACATTGGCATATAGCCACTCTGTCAGTCCATCTGATTGAAGGTCTTTTTCACTACTTTCCCAAGCATCTTGTACTTTTCCTAGGACTAGTCTCTTGTGATAACATGTCCAGAGTACTTTGAAAAAGTCCTCCCATCCCTACCTCTAAGGAACAATCTGGCTGCACTTTTAAAATTTGTTTGATCTTCTCACAGTCGTCTATTCCTTGTTCTTCACAAATAACATAATGAAAATGAATCCATTCCTCTCCACTCTTCTTTATCCATTGTCGAGCTGTCACATGTATATGAGAGGACTGAAAACACCATGGGTGGGTGAACCTTAGTCTTCAAAGTGATAGCTTTATTTTTTAAAACTTTTTAAACTTTAAAGATTTCTTTTGCAACAAATTTGTCCAGTGCAATATAGCATGTGATTTCATGATTGTTACCTCCATGGGTGATAGTTATGGATCCAAGTAAAATGAGAGCTATACATTTAAAAATCATTGCCGTTGAGTTAAAACCACCTCATAGCTGACCCTTCAGTGGATTTTTCAAAGTTTTTAATGCACATGAGAGAAGATAACCCATCTTTCTCTTGTAGAGCAGCTGGTGGAGTCACACAATACACCATTGGGTTGACAACACTAACCCGTAACTAGTAAGCCACCAGAGCTCATTCCTTCTATATATAGAAACGGGGAAAAACTGTAGGCAAAACCCCCTCACTTTAGTATTTTTCACCTTTACCTTTTGTTGTTTAATATTTTCTGTATTCCTTTGAAACTAAATTTTTTTACCTGCAGGAGTCTGGGACCACTGTGCTTCTCTTGGTAGAAGGTGGCTCCTATGAGGATTTTTTGTCTCCATCAGCGTCCAGCAGAAGTGGCATCCACTTCCTGAACAACATACCCCTGGAACTCTATGAACTTTGATAAATGTCGATAGTTATAGAAGGGCTTCAGGACTTTTGTCCATAAGGTCACTATGACTCGAAGACAATCAGCAACAGCAACCAATGTCCAGGTGTCCTTTCCGCCTTGGACAGACAGTACAGTGAGCAGAAAGTGTCTCTAAGTCGCCTGAAGCTGTGAAGCTGTGGCTCAGAACTGTCACTGCTCCAGCAGTAAAGGGGCCCAGCTGGAATAACTCTGAAATGAAGCAGCATTTAGGTCTCAGCATCCAGTTCTTATCATTTGCCTTTTACACCCTTTATTCACACAACTCTAAATAGATGGAAATAAATGCTTATGAATTCATCTCTTTTCAACATAAGTCAGGATTTGACAGTGGTTGTAAAGGTAGCCTTAAATAAATGAGAGTTACATGACCAAAGGCTACCATTCTTTTCCCTTATTTCTGGGCTTGTCACAAATTAATACTGAACGTCTATTTTACTCAAATAGCTTGGTCTTTTATCTTTTTTATAATCTTTTGCATACATTTTCAAGGTAATTGCAAAATACAAGCCCTTCAGCTAAACCCCATTGATTCTACTTGTATAAGTAGGAACATGGTCAGATGGATGAATCCTGCACCATTCTTTTGCAGCCCCGTGTTCTGCGTTGCTGCTAGCTTGGGCAGGCAGGGCTGTGAGCGCCCCCTGCTGTACAATGGGTTTGCGTGGCCAGAAGCCCTTTGCTCACAGCTCACCTGTGAATTAATTTTCTGTAGTCACAGCCTTATTCATTATGCCCTCTGGTTTCAGGCTGAGCATGGTCTCTCCAACTTTCTAAATCTGTACAACTGATGGTCTGACGCTGCGGTGTTCTAATGATTGAATCTATATTACAGAACTGCAGGCTGTGTGGTTTACTGAACCTTTGAAGAACGCCCTGACCCACACGGCACATTTTTGCCCTTTGTTTTTTCACAAGGGTCCTATTTCTTTTAGCTTCCTTTGCTTCAGTGCACATTTTTGCCCTTTGTTTTTTCACAAGGGTCCTATTTCTTTTAGCTTCCTTTGCTTCAGTGCACAGTGATTTGGGAGTGATTATGCTAAAACGTTTTTGAGACTCAAGCCATAGTATTTACAATTGCTTTGCATGTAATTTGGATAGTGAATGAGGATGACCCAAGAGTCAATGCCTTTGAATTGTGCAAAGGAGTACTGAGTAGTAAATGGACTGAAAAAGAAACAGATATATCTGGGAGGAAGTGTAGCCAGGGTACTCCTTAGAGGCAAGGATGGTGAAACTTCGTCTCACATACTTTGGACATGTTGTGAGGAGGGGCCAGTCCTTGGAAAAAAAAAACACCACACTAGGAAAGGTGGTTGCTATTGTTGTGTACTGTCAAGTCACAGCTGACTCCTAGCTGACCCTCCAGTGGGTTTTCAGAGGCAGTCAATTACATAGGAGGACACTGCCTATCTTTCTCCTGCAGAGCGGCCGGTGGATTTGAACCATGTGCCTTTGTGTTAGCAGTGTAACTCCTTACCAAGCCACCAGAGAACCCTGGGAAAGGTCAGAGAAAGACTTGCTACAGGATGGATTGACAAAGTGACTATAAAAATGGGCTTGAGGAAAAAAAATGGGCTTGAGGGAGCTCTGGTAGCCTAGTGGCAAGAAGCTTCACTGCAATCCCAGAGGTACGCGGTTTGAATCCATCAGATGCTCTACTGGAGAAGGAGGGACAGTCTCCTCCTGTACCAGTCAGATTTGGTTTGATGGTACACACACACACACAAACACACACAAAATGGGGGGGGGGAAGGGCTTGAGCTTATCGGACATTGTTAATGTGGCACTGGATAGGACAAGGTTCACATCTGTAATTCACAGGGTCTTTATGAGTCATAGCTGACTTGATGATACTGAACAGTGGAGCCCTGGTGGCCTAGTGGCAAGAATCTATGCTGAAATCCTGAAGGCATGTGATTCGAGGCCACCATCAGCTCTGTGGGGAAAGGATGGGCTATCTCCTCCCATGCAATTAATTGCCTCTGAAAACTTGCTGGAGGGTCAACTATGGGTCAGTCTGACTCGAGGGTATACAACAATAACAAGAGTGGTCATTTGGAAGAAGCACAGCCAGAGTGCTCAGTGGAAGTAAGACTGGTGAGACTTCACCTCACATAGTTCGGGCATGTTATTATGAGGAAGGACTAGTCCTTGGAAAGATGTCATACTTGAGATGAATTGACACAGTGACTGCACCAATGGGCTTACACACAGCAAAGACCATAAAGGTCAGGGGTTTGTTTCTGTTGTGCTATTAAATCCAAGGTGACTCCACATTAACTTACAACAATCTTAGATGTTAAAACTATTACTCTGTGAAAAACAATATGTATGAACTTTGTAAGTAAACCAGTATAAAATCAAAATTTTAAAGAAAAACCCAAGACAACTTTATTGTGCCTTCATTCTTTCAGTAAACATTTACTGAACAATTACTAAATGATATTTACTACTTAAAGGAACTTATATAAAGAGGGAAAAGACAAATTCACAGCTTTTAAGGGATTAGAGGTTTGTGTAGAAGAAATGGCATGTATACATGCTGTCTGAGGGTTTGGGAGAGGCTCTTAAGAGTTCTAGGGTTATTACCATAGAGATGATCTACTCGAAGTGTCTGCAAACCACTAAATATTTTAGACTTTGCAGGGCCTTAAGGCCACAAATACACACATAGCATGAAAGCACCCACAGGCAATGTATGTGCCGGTAAAACGTCACCAAATAAGGGTGGTCCCTTGATCTAGTTTAAGGGAGCAGCAGTCACTCATTGGTGGAGTTGTTACTTTCCATCTAGAGACCCAGACTTGAGTGTCAGCCAGTGCACTCATTTACAGCCACCAGCTCTCTGTCAGTGGAAGCCTGTATGTTGCTATGATCTAAATCCCAAACCCATTGCTGTTGAGTCAGTTCTGATTCATAGCCTTTCATCTAATTTTGGAGGGTGTAAATCTTTTTTTTTTATTAAATTTTATTAGTTTTAATGAACATTTACAGGGATTTTGGGTTTTCATTCCTTCATTGCTGCACCATTCTCTCTACCCTCCTCCCCAGTTTGCTCTTCTTCCCCGCCATCCAAATGTCTGTTTTAATTGTCCAATTGCCACAGTGCTTGTCAAAGTCAGTTGTGATTAATCTCCTTTGTCGGTGTGTCCTTTGCCATTCCCTATCACTCCTCCCTGAGAGAGACTTCACCCTGATTCATAAGGAAAAGGGGATGGCATATTCTCTTAGCTACTTCCTGCTGAAAAGGGACGCTGTGGGCTTCAGGGTGAAGATCTTCTCTCACTACTCTAAAGGGCCCCTTTGGCAGTAGGAAACACATAGACTATTATGGAGATTGATTTTGGAATTTAGATGCACTCTTATTGATTGTGCTTGGGCGTACATGTTCATATCCTTGAAGATGTATCATGGGGGTGTTGCAACCTAGAAGACACAAATTTGACTAACAAGTTATAAGTACATGAGTCAAAAATTATGGAAAGGTAAAAGAATGGAGGGTGTAAATCTTAACGAGAGAAGACTACTCATTTGTCTCCCACTTAGCACCTGGTAGGTTCGAACCACCAATCTTTTGGTCAGCAACCCACCACTTACACCACCAGGGCACATTAATACCATGAGGGCCATGGTACTGAGCAGAGTTCAGTGAAGTCAGCAGACTGACATACTAGAAAGGAAGACCTGGAAATCTCCTTTTTTTAGATTAGCTAATGCGAAACCTATACTTGGACCAAGAGGCAGTCGTCAGAACAGCGCAGGGAAACACTGCATGGCTCAAAATTGGAAAAGGTGTACACCAGGGATGTGTCCTATCTCCATACCTTTTCAACCTGTATGCAGAACAGATTATCCAGGAAGCTGGGCTCTATGAGGAGAAATGTGGTGTCAGGATTGGTGGAAGATCTATTAACAATCTGCGTTATGCAGATGACACAACCCTGCTTGCTGAAACTGAGGAGGACCTGAAGTGCTTGCCGCAGAGTGTCAAGGACTGCAGCATTCAGTATGAATTGAGGCTCAATGTCAAGAAAAGATTCTCACCGCTGGACCGATTGGCAGCATCAGGATGGATGGTGAAGAGATTGAGATTGTTAACAACTTTAGTCTGCTTGGCTCCACAGTCAACACTTTTGGCACCAGTAGCCAGGAAATAAAAAAACTTATTGAAATGGGAAAGTCGGCTGTTAGGGACCTCTCCAGGTTTCTGAAGAGCAATGGTGTCTCTCTGGAGACTAAAGTGCATCTGGTACAGGCTATGGTCTTTGCAGTCACTTGTTATGCATCAGAGACTTGGACAATGACTAGGGAAGATAGGAGAATTGATGCCTTTGGGCTATGGTGCTGGCGAAGAGTACTGAATGTACCCTGAATTGCCAAGAAAACAAACAAATTCATCCTGGAGAGGGTTAAACCAGGCTGCTCCTTGGAGGCAAGGATTCTGGGGTTTCGTCTGCCATACTCTGGACATGCTGTAAGGAGGGACAGGCCCTTGGAAAGGGACATTATGCTTGGTAGGGTGAAGGGACAGCGCAGGAGGGGAAGACTCTCTATGAAGTAAATTGATTCAGTGACTGGGGTAATCGGGATGGGTGTGTCAGAGGCAGTGCGATTGACACAGGATAGAGTAGGGTTTAGTGCTGTTGTACAGAAGGTCAGTATGAGTCGCAAGCAACTCGACGGCACATAACAACAACAACAACAAAAATGAAAACCTAACAAACCACAATGGACAATGGTTTAATCTACAACCCATCGTGGGATGGCTCAGGATGGGGCAACAGTTTTTTTCTTTTTGTCCTATTGTACATGAGTTCTAAGACTGCTAACAACAAAACTTGGAAGCAGGAGTGGCATCCACTTCCTAAACAACATGCCTCCAGAAACTCTATGAACTGATAAATGTTGATAGTTATAGAAAGACTTCAGGCATTTTGTTCATAGGGTCACTATGAGTCATCTTCAACAGTCAACAACAACAATACAACAGTGATCTAGTCTAACTATATAATAATTAGAAGAGAAAACTTAGAAACGCTATGAACTTTGATAAATGTCGATAGTTATAGAAAGCCTTCAGGCCTTTTGTTCCTAGGGTCACTATGAGTCATTCTCAACTCGAAGGCAATCAACAACACCACCACCACAACAATGATCTAGTCTAACTATATAATAATTAGAAGAGGAAACTTAGGCTCTAAAAGGTTAGATGGCATTTGCAAAGAACCCCAAGTAGTCATTGGCAGAACAAGTATTCAAAGTCAGGTTCTTTCATTCCAGGACAAAAGCTCATTTCACTGTTCCACATGATCCCTCTCTGGTCCTCAGCATTTCCTAGGCTAGCCAGGACATGGCACAGATACAAACTATTCCAGCGTCCTCTGCAGTTTGCTTTCAGATCCAGGCTAACTTTTTCTGCCTCCACTCTCTAGGTTGCTCCAGTTAAACCTTCTCGGCCAAAAAGGCACTTCTCTTCTGCTGGCACCATTGAAAGTGTCAACCTAGATGCCATCCCCCTGGCCATTGCTCGCCTGGACAACAGTGCTGCCAAGCACAAACTGTCTGTCAAGCCAAAAAAACAGAGGGTGTCAAAGAAGCACAGGCGACTTGCCCTGGTACGTACAACCCTGCCTTTGCTGAGCTGGCAGATGAAGTTTGGGGGGGGCCACTGCTTCTACCACAGAGATCTGGGACTAGGCACTCCACTGGAAACTGTGTGTGGCTGTGTACGTGGACCCTTTCTGATATGTTGCCCTGTAGAGGCTGGTGGACCACAGAGGGAGAGACTGCCCTCTCATAGACATCAGACACTCCAAGTTTGCTTTGCATTAGAAAAACTGCCTGGCTTTCATCTGCCCTGGCTTAGCACATCTTTCAGTGAGATTGGGTTGACTTGTAAGTCACACGTTTCAGAGGATGTTGATCAAGTCAGGTTTCAATTTCTCTTATATTATAAATGCTGGGATATTGATTTTTCTGAATGGTACAAATAGGAGCCTTAGAAAAAAGGCCTGATGTTCTGCTTCCAAAAAACTCAGCATTACAAACCCTATGGAGCACAGTTCTACTACGAATGCAGGCAGGATACTAGTAACTAGTACTGGTTTTCCTGTCGTTGTTCAGTCATATTAAGATAAAGGAAGGGAGGGAAAGGGCAGTAAAAATTAATAAGTAGATAAGCAAAAGGAAAGGCAATAAGGTGTTTAGATAATCAATAAATACAAGAATCAATGTTATCACCCAGCATATCTATGAATAATTATATGAAAAACTATTATCAGTTGGAAACCTTCACTCAAATAAAAATTTAAGTTTTTTTTATTAAACACAAAGGAACTTGAGGATAAATAAAAGGCAGTTGAAAGCTAAAGGTCATTGTCATGGAGTTGCAACTAATTTCTGACCCTCTGCCAGGTTTTTCAGAGGCTGTAAATTGCATGAGAAGAAATTGCCCATCTTTATTCCATGGAGCAGCTGGTAGATTCAAAACAAATGCTTTTGGCTGTGTAACTGCTTGTCCATTAGGCTGCCAGAGTTCCCTATTAAGTGGCTTCTGACACATAGTAGCCCATGTGACGCGAGTAGAAATTACCTATAGGATTTCCTCAATTTTAATCTTTGCAGAAGATCACCAGTTCTTTCTCCTAAGAGCTGCTGAGTCACTGCAAACTGCTAGTATTTTGGCTGGCTGCCTAGCACTTAATTCACTGTGCCACCAAAGCTTCTATAAATAAAGAGGCTAGAACAACTCCCTTATTCTCCCAACTTGCGGTGTGACCTCTGCACGGTTGATCAATATACAGAGTAGTAACGCGTGCACTTGGGAACACCCCTCTACCCACCCATCCCTTGAGATAAAGAGGGCCACCTACGTTGTGAACAGGGCCAAGAATAAAAGGACTAACTCTGTTTCTCTTGCTGTTAGGATCGACAAAACGAGCAAGATAGCCTGGAGAGCCAGTCATCCCTGGACCAGAACGGACACCCGGGAGATGGCAAGCCGATCTGGCATGAAGAGGAACCAGAGCCGCTGGATTCCGAGGAAGAGAAAAGACGCCAGGAGGAATACTGGCAAGAACTCGAGGCCAAGTGCAAACGGCAGAAGGCCGAGGCGGCAGAGAGGAGACGCCTGGAGGAGCAGAGGCTGCAGGCCCTGGAGAGGAGGCTGTGGGAGGAGAACCGGAGGCAGCAGCTCTTGGAGAAGGACGAGGACAAAGAGGGGAAGGAGCTAGAACCTCCACTGGAGGTGGAGGCGGAAAACAGGAAGCAAGAGGAGGCGAGGTGGAGGTGGGAAGAGCTGGACATCCCAGACCCGGAGAGGAAGGAGCAAGAGGGAAAAGAACTCCTGGAGGCTGAAGAGCGGCAGCAGGAGGAGGAACTGGAGGCGCAGAGGCAGCAGCGAGAAGAAGAGGAACGCCGAAGGCTGGCGGAGCAGGAGGCACAGAGAAGGCGGGAGGACGAGGAAAGACAGATGAAAGAGCTCAGGAGGCTGGAGGAGGAGCAGAGGCGGCAGGAGGCTGAGCAGCAGAGGCTGAAGGAGGAGGAAAGGAGGCTGGAAGAAGAGAGGAGGCGCGAGGAGGAAGAGAAGCGGGCGACGGAGCGCAAGAGGATGGAGGAACTGGAGGCGCAGAAAAGGCAGGAAGAAGAGGAAAGGAGGCTGGAGGAGCTCAGGCGGCAGGAGGAGCGGAAAGAACAGAGAAGACGGGAGGAAGAGGAGCAGAGGCGGAGGGAGAAAGAGGAAAAACAGAGGCGGCAGGAAGAACTGGAGGCCCAGCGGCGGCGGGAGGAGGCCGAGGCGAGAAGACAGACGGAGCTCAAAAAGCAGGAGGAAATGGAGGCTCAGGGGAACCCGGAAGCGGAAAGGAAACACGAGGAAGGCCTGCGAAGGCCCGATGGAGAGAGACGGCTGCAGACAGACGGGAAAAGGGGCTGGAGCCCCAACGGGAGTGAAGAGAAACCGGGACATGAACACGCGAGGGCCAGGACGCAAAGAGATAGCTCCGAGGAGCCAAGTGCTGAGGAGGAACCGGGCTCAGACGCCATGCCAGTCAGACAGCAGGCGGGAAAGCGGGGGCACGGGCCAGGGGACGACCATCGCATACTTCCAGCCCCTAAACCTGAACCTCCCCTGAAAAAGGAGGCCCCGAGGGACGAAATGCCGGCTCCAGTGGAAAAGAAGGAAGCAGTGACTCCGGAAGCGGACCGCAAGGTGGAGGAACTGCGATGGCAGGAGCTGGATGAGCGGCAGTCCATGCCCAGGCCCTACACCTTCCAGGTCTCCTCTGGAGGGAAGCAGATCCTCTTCCCCAAAGTCAACCTGAGCCCAGTGACCCCCGGGAAGGAGGCACCCCAGGAAGCCAAGGCCCACAAAGCCAGCAGCCCGGCCCCGCACGCCCTGCCCTCAGCCCTGAGCATCCCGCACACCGCCATCCTGGTGACAGGAGCGCAGCTCTGCGGCCCGGCCGTGAACCTGAACCAGATCAAGGACACGGCGTGCAAGTCCCTGCTGGGCTTGTCCGAGGAAAAGAAGCACACAGACCTCCCCGCCGTAGAGAACCCGCCCCGAACCCCCAGCGACCCTCGGCCGGGCGGCGGGAAGGCCAAGGCGGCGCAGGCGCAGGAGCCTTCGGGCGGCGGGGCGGCCCTGGCCGAGTGGGCCTGCATTCGCTCCCGTATCCTGAAGACCTCCGAGAGTGACCAGCGCCCCGAGAGAGATCAGAGGGCTGGGGACGAGCCCCCCACTCCCAGGAGCCGGAGTGATTCCCGGGGAAACCCCCGCAAGACGCCACCCGTCAATGCGAAGTTCTCAATTATGCCTGCCTGGCAGAAATTCTCCGATGGTGGCCTGGAGGCCTGCAAACAGAATGCAGATGCAGAGGGGATTCGCAAAAGATCCGTGCCAGGACCCAGTGAAGACACAGAGCCCCTGCCTCCGGCCAAGGCACCCCAGGAGCCCCAGAAGAGTCCCGAGAAACTGGGGGTGCACCGGGAGCCAGCCGACACCACCGACGGATGCAAATTTGCCAAAGACCTTCCATCTTTCCTTGTCCCAAGCCTGCCTTCCCCTCCGCTGAAACCGGGGACCCACGCGGAGCCCAGGAGCACCTCGGAGAGCGAGACTACGAGTGGGTCCAGGAAGCCGGACCAGGCAGTGTCGGGCGGGGAGGAAAAAGCCTCCCCTTTTGGAATCAAATTGAGGAGGACCAACTACTCCCTGCGCTTCCACTGTGACCAACAGACAGAGCAAAAGAAGAAGAAAAGGCACAGCAGCATGGGGGACAGTGCCGATGGTGGCGCCCCTGCCCCCGAGAGCACGAGTGCAGAGAAGGAGACAGAGGGGGCAGCCAGCAAGCACGGCCCACCCCTCACACAGGAAAGGAAGCAGGTCCCCGGCACCAGGAAGGACTCTGCAGAAACCCCTTCCACGAGCTCACCTGTCGCTCAGCCCATGTCCCCTACACCCAGCACTCAGTCCCCAACCGTGGATCACGACAAGGTAGCAAATAAAACGCCATTGGTGCAGAAGCCAGCACTGGCTCCCAAGCCCACCAGCCAGACCCCACCATCCTCCCCACTGTCCAGACTAAGCAGGCCCTACCTGGTGGAGCTGCTGGCCCGCAGAGCGGCCAGGCCTGACCCGGAGGCCAGCGAGAAGGCCAAGGAGATCAGTGAGCCTTGTCCACCCTCACCAACACCCTCAGAGGACAGGAAGGGACAGAAGAAGAACGAGGAGGAAGAGGCGCCAGAGAGAAAGCCCTCGTCCCCAGCTTTGCCTGCTGCTTGCCAAGAGAAACCTTCCCAAACACCGGAGGTGGGAAGGAAAGGTATGTAGCAGAGGATGGGGCAACTGCCATCTATCCAGCTCAATGTCTGAATCACTTCTAATGCCAGGACTGCCCAAACCCCCAAAGTAGCCAGTGGAACTGGTGTTGGGAGCACTTTCCTTAACTGGAGATCAGTTTGCTCTTCCCAAAAGACTCACTGGCAAACTGTGAGGCTCCTAGCTTTTAGAACCTTAGATATTCTTTTTACACAGCTGTTGTTGTGTACCATAGAGTCGGAACCAACCTCATAGCCGACCCTCCAATGGGTTTTCATAGGTGGTTAATCACTAGGGAGGAGATTGCCCATCCTTCTCCCACCAAGCTGCCTCAAACCACATGCCTTCAGGATTACAGTGCATCTTCTTACCACTAGGCCACCAGAGCTCCTCGGCTTTTATTGGCATTCTTTAGGATTTTGGAATTCAGACTGCTGCAGAGAAGCAGTTTATTCTTTCCTGTTAATGGCTGCTCAAACAAGTAATGAGCTAAAAGGTGCTGACATCTATAGCAGTCTTTGGTTCATAATAGAAATTGAAACATCTTGTTAGGTGCTATTGTGTTGAGAACGACTCATAGCGACCCTGTGAACTTATGATCTGCACTCCATCCTGTCCTGTGCCATTCTCATACTTCCTGACACAATAGAGCCCATTGCTGTCATCCCCATGTCAGTCCACCTGGTTGAGGATCTTCCTCTTCCATGATTCAAACAACCCTAATTAATATGTAGACTATTAACCATTACAAAGGGAGCATGCAGTAGAGATAAAGACTGGCAGAAAGTTCTGGGTTCTGTCTCTAGATGGTAGTGTTAGAACCAAGATGCAAGGTTAAGTGATCTTAGGCATCTCCTTTCATTTCCCTTCCCAAGTGCTCTCATATGGAAAATTGAGATGGTCCCAGATTTGTGTCAAATGTTCTGCAGATGTAGTATCAGGTCTCCCACTCCCACCTGCTTGATTCCACAGCCCCTCATGAAGAGATGTCCTGTGACTGTTACCTGCAGCTACCACCGATGTTTCATTGCAAGACATGCTTTAGGCAGTTGAGTGATGACTCACCACCTGAGAACCATCTAAGACTTTTCCCTTCCATTGTGTGTGAAACACAAAGGGCAAATAATGAGTAAGAACTCATTTCTCTCCAAGAAATTCTCTGTAGGGCTTAGAGAGAGATGTTGCCTTCTCTTCTGTATAATCGTTGAGTTGGGGGGATTTTTTTTGCAGATAAAAGGTCTGAACAGTGGTAACCCGATCACCTTAGATGCTATTGTTGTTAAGTGTTCCTTTGCTTTGTTTGGTTTTCTGAATAGATTTATTGATTAGCAGCTTCCAGACCATTTCTCTCCAGTGGTCTTTTTTCTGTCTCTCATGCAAGCACAAAAGGCCCATTATTAGAGATTTTTGTTGGTTTGTTTTTTACTTCCAATGGTGAAAATCTACAGAGGAAATTGGTCTTTCACCCAATTCATATGGATTTTGTTTTTTCATGGAAATATGGACCACATCATGGGAAATTTCCTACTCATTGTCCAGCTTTTTCATGCATATGAGGCAATTGAAGATACCATGGCTTAGGGCAGGCACACTTCAGTCTTCAAAGTGACATCCTTGCTCTTAGCACTTAGATGTTCCCAGAAGCAGATCTACCCATTGCAAATTGTTTAAATACTTTACTGCTGATCTCATGGACATGGATTGTGGATCCAAGTAAAAAGAAATCACTTATAACTTTAATCTTTATTACATTTATCAGGATGTGATTTATTGGTCGAGCTGTGAAGATTTTTTTTTTCTTTTTGTTGAGGTGTCATCCATACTGAAGGCTATACTCTTTAAATGTCATCAGTGTTTCAAGTCTTTATTTTCTGCAAACAATTTGTCACCTGCATATCATAAGTTATTAATAAGTCTTCTTCTAATCCTAATGCATCATTTATTTTCAAATACTCTAGTTTCTTGGATTAATTTTCCTGCATACAGATTGAATAGGTATGGTGACAGGATACAGCCCTGATGCACACCTTCTTTGATTTTAAAGTGTACAGTATCTCCTTGTTCTGTTTGAAAGACTGCATCTTGGTTTATTTACAGGTTCCAAATGAGCACAGTTAACTGTCCTGGAATTCTTTCTTTGCAACATTATGCATCATTTATTAAGATGCACACAGTCAAACAATGCCTTTGCATAGTCAATAAAACAAAAGTAGACATTTGGTATTCTTTGCTTTCAGCCAGAGTGCATCTGACATCAGCAGTGATATTCTTCCTTCTGTGAACTCATCTGAATCTAGCTTGAATTTCTGGCAGAGTGGTAATCAGGATCTTATAATCTCAAGAATCAGTTCCTCTATTCCCCTGAAGTTTGAGATGAGAATTTGAGAGAAGGCAGGGTGGACTGATTTTAGAATGAGAAAGAGAGAGTTGGTTTAAGTTGAAGCAAAATAAATTTTTAATTAGATATTTTGAGTGGTCTGACTAAATGAATTATGCTGTTCACATCATCATCATAGTCTCTGTTTTTTAAAACCTTAATGGAAATAAGGGATTTTACTGTTGTGGAGTGACTTCAATACATCATTCCTTTTGCTTAATCATAACAGCAGCATTAAAGGCACTCAGTTGCTTTTATTACTCAGTCTGAATAGAAGGCTCTCAGCACACCTTTGGAGAGGTAGTTTTGTGTCTTTGTGACTAGCTTCATTTCCCAGGTTAAATTCTTTTTCTCGGGCTGCCTCCTATAATTCTCACCAGGCATAAGAGTTAGCAAAAACTGTATTACTCTTTTTTTCCCTCACTTTGCCTTTAAACCAAATCTGTGGTTTTCATTTTCCGTTATCTCTTTGATCATATATTTTTTTAATTTTTCTTTTTAAAATTTTTTTTTAATTATTATTAAATTTTATTCATTTTAATGAACATTT